ATGGTTAATGAAGAGTTCGCTAAGCTGTTTCATTTATGAAGAACACATTTGATTGCCTCTTAAAAAAATTTCACAACTTTGTTTTTCCTAGTTTGAAAAAGAAAAACAGCGTGATATTCGATCCTTCTTTTTACCAAAACCTAAGGAGAGACAGTTGGTGACCTCCTGTGATGAATCAGGGGTGTTCCAGGAGAAAAATCCTGTAGTGCCAGCAGCCCCTGGGAAAACAGCTGCAAGAGATGTCACTGGTGATGGAAGCGATCTTGAGCCTGAAGCCAAAAGGCTGAGATCGGTCACCCCCGATGACCGCAGCAGCCCGTCGGAGGAGAGACCTTCCTGGCCCCCGCAGACCAAAGGTCCGCTCGTGGAGGGGGACTGTGAGGCCAAGACCCAGGCCGCCACGCCAGCCCTTCCTGGTGAGGGCTGGCAGTGTGGTTTCTGCACCTACGTCAACAGCTCAGTGTTGCCATACTGTGAGATGTGTGCGAATCCTCGGGGACGTGGCGGTGAGTACATGAGGGCGACCATGGGGGGCAATGGCAGCGGTGTCTTCAGGTAACCTGTGCTTCTAGGGACAACTGCTGTTATCAGAGGCTTGTGTGACTCCGTACTGACTTCAGCTTTTAAGCTGGAGGAAGAACTTCACATGGTGAAGACAGAATTTATCCCCTTGTGGAATGTGGAAAGCTCCCAGTTCTGTCAGGAATGTATATCTCCCCAGTGTCTGTGACTTGGCATTAATTTGGCACAAATGGACATTTTTGATTAATGCCAGCAGGATGTGAATTCAGTGGGCAGGAATAGAAGCTCTGTTGCTATGGCAGCAAATATGCCTTATAGTCATAGCCCTGCTGTTTTCTTTCCTCTGTAGATAATACTTGTTTTTAAAGAAATTATAGATTATTTTTATTTAACTAGCAATATGAATCCAGTGTAGCTTCTTTGCCCAGTAAAATATCCATTGTGCCACGTTTCTTGCATGACAAATCATAAAAATTCGTCTAAAGTTCTTTTAAACACCAATTTGGTTATCTGCTTTATGAGTTTATTCTTTTCCGAAACATGCTCTTTAAAGTAGAAATCCTAAACGTCCCTCAGAGTGTGTTTTTATAGCGTGCCGTTGATATAGGCAATTTTCTGATGTTTGTTTTTGAAGTGATTCTTAACACCTGCAGTTGTCTTAAGAAAAGATCATTAGTATTCCTTTTGTTTCCAATTTGAGAGACCATTTTTATTGAAACTAAAAAATGGCAAGTTGACAGTTTGGGGAACTAGAAGAAATCATAAATAAAATTGTATCAGTTGTAGTAAATTGTACACGTCTCCTTGTCCATCATGTGTGAATTCTTCAGACCACGGACATTAACAAAGGCTGAGCTAAGGCAGAAGCTCTGAGGCTCCAGGTCCTTCCTGCCGCCTTGCTCTCCTCTGCCTTATTTTATCTGAAAGAAAGTGTAATGAGTGGCTGAATCTTTCCTCCTTCAATTCTGGGTGTTCCTACCAAAACTGACAAGTCTGCCATCTGGGTGGTTATATTTGTAATGTGGACACCTGTTGTCTATGAACTAAATTGGAACCACAAGCTTATTCCATATAATACCTCCCACAATTTGCGTTATCTCGTTCAATTTCCAACTGCTACAGGCAATAAAAATAAAGTGTCTTGTGACTACAGAATAATGTCAGTTCACATTAAGTATATAAATTGAGTGATGTAGCAACAAAAATCCTAGTTTAATAGGGTCTTACGGTTCTGATTTTTTTTGCGATACCCAGAACAACAATGAAAGTTTCTCGAACCGTGATATAAGAAGCAAACTGTCAAGCAGTCTAAGAAAAACAAAACACTTTTTGTGACCATGAAACAGTCTGATTTAAGAGGAATACATATTCTAAGTAACAGTGATATTACTATGTAGAAAATTTGTTAGATTAATATTACTACAATTTGGCATAATGCTTTCCAACCTTGATTTGAAGTACTGAAAAGCAGAATTAATTCTAAGTCATCTAAATCTTAAAATCAGTACCTGTTGCCACTATATATAAAAATAGACTTTAAAAAACCAAATTTCTTCTGTATAGCACAGCGAACTGTATTGAATATCTTATAATAACCTTTAATGAAAAAGAATATATGTATATATATGCATGGCTGGGATATTGTGCTGTACACCAGAAATTGACACATTGTAACTGATTGTACTTCAATAAAAAAATTTAAAAATAACTAACTAAATAAACAAAATCAGTGCCTGCCCTATAACACTTTGAGGAAACAGTGAAATTCAAAGTTTAAAGAAGCAATATCAGGTATAGGACTGGAAAGTCCTGTAAAGGTTGCTAATGCCATCTCTATACATTAGATAAAATTTGGTATAATATATATCGACACTAATATTTGTCAGTATGTAACATTTCTCTTGTGCTTTTTTCTTAACATCTATAGCTTATACATAGCATCTTAAGGTGCATACATCCAGGTTTATATCTCTCACTTGAATTCCAGATTGGATGTATCCAGTGGCCTATGTAACGTCTCCACCAGGGTGTCTGATGGGCACCTCAACCTTGATGTGTCCAAAGTGGAATTCCACCATATCCAACACCCAAATCTTCTCCTCTGTCATCTTCCCTACATCATACTGAAAACCCAGAGGCAGCATGTTTGATTCCCCGCCCCTCCTCCCACACTCGATTCATGAAGTTCTGCTAGTGTAACCTCCACAGTATATCTTGATTCCAGCCACTTCATCTTTACTGCTACCATCCCACTGGAAGCCATCATCATCTGCCTCCCAGGACCTCCCTCATAAGCCCGAGGCCGGGCCTTCTCTACATAGCAGCCAGAGTGGTCCTTTGAAAACTTAGATCATTACATTCCTTTGCTTAAAACCCTTGAACGGCTTCCAGTTACACTTAGACCCTCATCCAGGAGCGCAGGCACCCAGGGCCGGGCTCTGTAGACTCCAGAACAGCCCTCAGCTCCCACGGGCCTGCTGGCTTTTCTCCTTCTGCCCCGTCCCCTTACTCACTCATTCTCTTTCTCTGAAGAGACTCTATTTGCTTGTTTACTTGTTGTTGTCTATCCCTGCCATTTGGAATGGACTCTCCAGGAAGCAGGGACCTTTCTGTCCTGTTCCTTCTGCCTCTCCAGCACCAAGAGTAGTACTCGGTGTGCACTGACCCCGATGAATGTCCTGGAAGAATGAACAAACATCTCTGACTTTGTTTCTTTTTATAAGTCCTAGCTGTGACTTTTTTTTTAAACTCTACTTTTTAAACTGGGCTTAGAGTAAATAATGACTTTATCTAAATATAAGTGTAAATTCTTTGTTTGATTTGAATAAACAAATTCATTTGTTTATCTGTTGTACAACTTTGTTCTACAAATAGGTGGCCTCAACCACACCCAGGATCAAAGCAAACACAAGAAAGATGATTCTCAGAAAGACACCTCCAGAAAAATTCAGACTAGTTCTGACTGTGAAAAACAAGTCCTTGCATGTTCAGAACCTGAACCGTTAGCTGAGAACAAGGAGGAAATATCAGAAACCGAGAGTGAAGACAGACTCACATCCCAGCCAGGTGATGGTAAGTCTTGTGTCCATTTCCAGGATCCAAATAATAACCATATGCTTAGACATATAATACTGTAAGCAGATTTGCAATCACTACCTTGCTTCAGTTCCTTGTATTCCTGTTTAAATTAAAAATACCAGCCATTTGTAACTACATCCATAAACACCAGGTGTCTGGAAGAGCAGAGCGGCTGGCGTTCAGACGTCCTCCAGAGAGCTGAACCCCTGCGCGGCTGCGGGTGCTGCCCCAGGCCTGGCCCGCCCTCACAGTGACAGGACAGTGTTCACGTTTGGGGGTTCCTTGGGACCACATAGTAGGAAAGACAGATTATTAACAGCCACTTAGCAGATCATTAATCCTCACATATAGGTTTCTTTTAAATGGCTACAATTAATGGGCATATTTAAAATTTAGGATTTTGGATAATTTTTTTTCAAGAAAGTGTTTTTAAGGAACATAATTTCAAGACTAATGTGAATCATGACTACGTTTGGAACCAATCGTGTAATGTCTCACATTTATGTACTTTTTGGTTGATTCCGTTCATTATTTGTAGCCGTGATGGTTGGCAAAGATCAGCCTGTATGTCGTACATCACTGAGTTTAGGGGCCGGCTGGCAAGAGATTATGAGTACTTCTGGGTTATTTTCTTTGTTACTCAGCTTGTGACCATAGTAACCCACAGGTTGATGTTCTCATTATAACAGCCCCAGAATGGTTAGGATGGACTGTTGAAGTTTTTCTTTTAATTTAGTTGCTGTGAAGCACAGATGTAATTTAGAGTCAGACTCATAGCTTTAAAATGAAATGTTCATTTCGGTGTTTCTGAGTTCAGGGCATCCTCCTTGCTTCTTCCCTCAGCCTTCCCTTCCTCTGATTCCTCGAGTCTTCCCCCAAAGTATCTTACGTGGGTCCTGTTCGGGTCCGTTAATTTTAACAGCCTTTCAGTAGACCGTGTAGACTCAGACTTCACGTCACTGGTTTCCTTGTTCCTGCTGTAGCAGTCCCTCCAGCGCTGATGAAGCTCTGGCTGCAGGACCGCGTACCCAGAATCAACCACTGGCCATTGTCATCAGCTGGGCCCTGAGTCCCTTCATCTCCGGCAGGGAAATACTGGCTTGTTAGCTGTAGTCAGTCGGTCCCTTGATGAAGACATATGTTCGCTTTACTTACACTTACTTTTCAAAAATCACTAGACTTTTAGAAATTGTTTTCTGCAGTGATATTTGCATTGGCCTCATCCAGTCCAGATAATGTGAGCATTTCCTCCCATATCCAACCCCTCCTTTTTTTTTTTAACCTCTCAGATCACTGGTCTGAGACCCCCACAAAAGCGATGTGCTTCACGGCTACCCACTAACATGGATATCCATGAAAACCAGAGGGAAGACAAAGAAGGCCCATCAGACTAAAATGCGTGTTCTACCCACATATGCTCTTTTATTTTTTTGTTTGTTTGTTTTATGAAGGGGAGGTAATTAGATTTATCTATTTATTTATTTACATTTGGAGGAGGTACTGGGGATTGAACCCAGGACCTCGTGCATGTTAAGCACACAATCTACCACTGAGCTCTACCGTCCCCCCACATACACTCCCTTGGAACCAGGGTGGTATATACTGTGCTGGAATTGTAGTTCGTTCTCACTGGAATTCTAGGGGTTTGGAAGGATGGGTGTATCTTCCAAAAGCTGCATCACCTGTAGTTTCGAACCGTTAAATTATACTTCATGGAAACAATGAAAAGAAAAATACATCCCCTAGTGCAGCTACTAGCTAGCTACCTAGAGTAGCAGCTGATTTGGAGGTGTTCTTATAATGCTTTTTATCAGAGAATGACTTCTGATCTTTAGGCATCAATGCATTAACTATAGTTCTTCAAATCTGAAGACACAGTGATTATGAGATGCACTTAGTTTATGTACATCAAGAAAGAAAAAAGCTCTGTCAATTAAGCTATGACACAGTAACTTAATGGTAGCGCAGACCAGATCATAAGACCCTCTGTTGCTTTGACAACACTTTGATTTGTCCTGAGGGATCTGGCAGTCTCTCCTGCATTCCCTTGCTTCGCTTGGCATTAATAGGCAACTCTCTTGCACATTTCAGTGTTTACATATAAGACAGCTTCCCCTATTTGCAGGGCTTTTCTTTTCTTAGGTCCCATGAAGCCCTCGGTTATCCCTTTGCAAGAATAAGATATTTCTCAGTAAGAAATTTTGGGTTTTCCTCCGGTGATACGTGTTCCCTTCTTTCATAGCAACTGTCTGCTCTCCTGCTCTGTATCCAAGTTTTTTGGTGTACATGAAAATTTTTCATTTCAATACCACATCGTAGTGAAACATTTTGAAGACACTTAAAGGTAATGAAACTCACCACATAGTAACAACAACACATGTATCTCAAGTGTGGAAATGACAGCAGCACTGTCGTTATAACTAAGCTCACCCTCGGTGACAGCCACCTCACGACGGCCACCTGGCCAACCTTGATTGTAAAATGCCATGATTATCGACTGTAATTATGCCAATTTCAGAGAGGTTAAAGTGTGGAAAATGTACGATTTTTAATTTATGAAATATGGGAATAATCTACAGTTCAATTTTGTAAAGGGATCGATGCCTTGATTAGAAAAATTAAAATAGATGGCATTTCCAAATAGAATCACAAACAAATCATAGGCTCCTAGATCTGGAGAAATACTTTAAAAGGTCCCCAGGGAACTAGAGGTTAAGAGCACAGGCCCTGGAGCCAGATTATGGGGCTTAAGTCCTCTTATGAGCGGCCTTGGGCAGATCCATTTGCTCCGGTTTCCTCTGGAAAAATGCACTACTTATTTCTGAGAAGTGTGAACATACATACTGAGAACAGCACCTGGCACATTGTAAGTGCTTAATAAGTGCTAACCATAATTATGATTTAGATCTGCTTGAATAACCCTGTCTCTCCTGCAGAATATATTGGTCAGTGGGACTGAGAAAGGAATAAATAGAAAGAGAGGCTTATCAGAAAGGAGACATGTTCACGCATCTCCTTTTGGGAAGGTGAGACACTGGGCCGTGGGGGATCCGTCATTTCAGTGGCCCTCGACACAGCTGCATGGCTCCCGATCATCAAAATGGTGCTCATTCAGTCTCAACTCACACCCACTCTAGCAAAAGGAATCGATTCTAGACTCTTTCAAGACCGATAAGGATTCAGGAACTTATCCCTTCCATCTAACTCTTTTTAACTGAATCTCTTTTTCCCTTGTTGAGTCATTAGCAAAACTTCAGCAACTGGTCACCATAGAAGCCAACATGCCCTTAGATGTCTCCCCCACCCCCCAGTAGTTTTATTTCAAGCCCAGACACACGTTCTTTGTCAAATACGTTAATACATTTGATACAGCTGTGTCATCCTTCTAATTTGCAGAAGATTAAGGTAAGCTATTTTGGATAAAGGGTGGATATGCCTTCAGGTTCTGGTCTGTCTTCTATTTTAGGATATTTGCAGAGCGCGGACCCTTTGCCAGTATACGATACCTTAATGTTCTGTGCAAGTAGGAACACCGACCGGGTTCACCTCTATACTAAGGTAGGCACCGTGTGGGTTCTGGAAACATGCAGAAGGCTTCCTTTTTTCAGGTTTCAGTGGAGATAATTTTATTAACAACGGGATAGATGTCTTTTTTTTTCCCTCCATAAAACTAATGCTCAAATTCCTACGTTAAATCTAAAGATAGGGAGAAGCAAACAGCAGGGCAGTGAAGAGCGCAGGCCCCAGGGCCAGAGTGCCCGGTTCAGATGTGTGCTAACTGTGGAGTCTTGGACACATTACCTAACTGCCCCGTGCCTCAGTTTCCTCAACTCTCAAATGCGGAGGAGTTGTTCCAGGACGAAGCAGGCGAATTCCCTAAAGCACTCAGTGCAGGGCCTAGCCGTGGTGAACGCCCACTGGAAGCTGGCTCCTGCCGCGAGCCCTGCAGCTGCTGCCGCGGTCACGTCCTGACAAGCCTGCGCCCGAGCCTGAGCCTGAGCCGGCTGAGTCCACGTCGGCTACACTCCAGGGAGCGTTAACAAAGTGGCCGCAGATTCCTGCCACGGCCCGGGTTAGCAGTGCTCACACTTTCTAGTCTCAGGCCCTCTTTGTGCTCCAAAAATTTGTCGAGGACCCCAAAGAACTTTTTTTATCTGTGTGTATAAGTGAATCACTGTGCTGTACACCAGAAATGAACACAACTTTGTAAATGACTATACTTCAATTTAAAAATAAATTTAACTGGAAGTTTGCAATATGCAGATACTAATGTATGTAAAATAAACAGCAAGTTATACTGTATAGCATAGGGAACTATATTCAATATCTTGTAGTAACATGGTGAAAAAGAATATGAAAACAAATATATGTATGTTCATGTATGACTGAAGCATTACGCTGTACACCAGAAATAGACACAACATTGTAAACTGACTATGCTTCAATAAAATAGATATATTCTAAAAAATAAAATAAAATTTTAAAATAGAAAATAAAATTGTTTATGTGGGTTATATTTATTAGTATTTACTGTATTTGAAATTAAAATGGAAACTAAAGTATTCATTTATGGTAATTTAAAGTAGCAATAATAAATCCATTACATATTTATATAAAAAGCCTATATTAAAAATGTATTTTTCAAAACAAAAATGATGTTTAATGAGAATGGCACTGTTTTACAATTTTCTAAATTTTCTCTAAAGTCTTCATAGAAGACAGTGGGACTCTCATCTCTGCCTGTAGGTGGAAAACTTCACTGTACATTTATGAGAGAATGAGAGTGAAGAAGGCAAATAATGTTTTACTGTTCTGATGAAAACACTTGTAATTCTGTGGATCCTCAGAAAGGGTCTTGGAGACCACGTGGTGTACAGAATAATGCTTCAGTCATACATATACATACATAAATTTGTTTTCATATTCTTTTTAACCATAAATTACTACAAGATATTGAATATAGTTCCCTGTGCTATACAGTAAGAACTGTTGCTTATCTATTTTATATATATTAGTATCTGCAAATCTCCAGCTCCACCCTCTTTCCACCCTCTTCCTTCCCTGGTAACTATAAGTTTGTTTTCTATGTCTGTGAGTCTGTTTCCGTTTTGTAAATAAGTTCATTTGTCTTTTTTTTTTAGATTCTACATATGAGTGATATCATATGGTATTTTACTTTCTGTTTCTGGCTTACTTCACTTAGAATGACAATCTCCAGGTCCATCCATGTTGCTGCAAATGGCATTATTACATTCTTTTTTATGGCTGAGTGATATTCCATTGTAGAAATATACCACAATTTCTTTATCTAGTCATCTGTCAATGTTAGATTGTTCCCATGTCTTGGCTGTTCTAAGTAGTGCTGCTGTGGGTGCATGTATGTTTTTGAATTAGGAGTGCTAGATCATATGATAAATCCATTTTTAGTCTTTTGAAGACTCTCCATACTGTTTTCCATAATGGCTGCACCAAACTACATTTCCCACCAACAGTGTAGGAAGATTCCCTTTTCTCCCCATCCTCTCCAGCATTTGTCGTTTGTGGACTTTTGAATGGTGGCCATTCTGACTAGCGTGAGGTGATACCTCATTGTAGTTTTGATTTGCATTTCTCTGATAATTAGTGATATTGAGCATTTTTTCATGTGCCTATTGGCCATTGGTATGTCTTCATTGGAGAATTGCTTATTTAGGTTCAAATTTCTAATCTTTCTAAGTATCATAAAATAGTATTTGTGACATCTTTAAACTCATGGGCCTTTCTATTGAAAGAATACCTTTCTCAAGATAGGTTAGAGCTGCCCAAACTCAGTCACAGGCACCCTGCTGACCCAGATACCAGGTGCAGGTAGATGGTGAACCGCATGGTCGTCTTCAGCTCTAACTGAAGATCAGAAGATATTGCTAGAAGATTTAGGAGAGGGCTAGGAGCGTGAGTACCAGAAGCCCCAAGCAGCCTTCATCGTGGGACCACCATCCAGAATGAAGCAGGCGGTGCACAGCGCTTCTCTTAAAGGCTAGGACTGTGGTCCACCAGGTGGAACCTCTAGACTTGGGGGAGCACCATGGACCCCCTGCTCACCTAGAGACAGATCTAAGTGCCTGAGCCTCCCTTTCCCCGACGTGGGGGCAGTTCCAGCCCCTGCTTCTCTGACCATCACAAGATGAAGGTCAGGAAGCCAGAAGACAAACACCAGGCAGAGCACACACAGGAATTCAGAAGCCCTTAAACTCTTTAAACATTTCATTCTGCACAGTGAAGACTCTGCACTGGATCATCTGATCAGTGTTTCCCCCTCTGGGTGGAGATCGGAGAGACCCTGCAAAGTCGTGGCAGAGGGTGGGGTGTGTCTGCCACCAAGTACATACCGTGACAGCCTCCCGAGCCACACTCCGACTTTGTGGCCCAGCCTGTGCAGCCCTGGCTGCCTGGCCTCCTCTCAAGAGTGTCAAATGCATTTTTATGACTCTTCTAAATACTTACAAGTCCCCTTACCATAAAATACTTCTCAGTCAATTTTTGAAACATCAGACACAAAGCAGATGAAATGTCAACAGGGTTTTTCACAGCTACAGGAGCATTCAGATGAAAGCTTTCCTTTTTCCCTTAGGAGAGCTGAAATAAAATCTAGAAGCAGAAATGTGGGTAAAAACCCTCGTTCACTGCCTGAAAGAACACCCCCTTAAAAGGAAGAGCAGAAACAGATCTTTAGCATCCTATGTCATGTTAATAGTAAATGCAGAGTTTAGAACAACGGTTACGTATCTAAACTCTTAATCAATACGTAGGTACTCTTCAAATGTTTTTTTCCAGAGTGATTGTGGGAGCTGTAACCTTTCTGTTTAGCTGAGAGAATTAGATAGAATATGGGTTCAACTCTTGTTTATACAGGAGATTTCCATGTACAGAGATTCTTCTTTCTCTTTATAAAAGAAACACTTCATGTTTAAACCTCGTGTGTAACTGACCACACCCATCTCCGCGGTATTGTTTACCCTTAAGTCTGAATGCAGTGGGACCCTCAGGGCAGTGGAGCGCCTGGCCCTCGTCCTCCACACAGCATCTTTCCTGGGAGCTGTGTGCATAGAAGCTAGTCTGGAAGGTGCTGCCGCAGTTTCTCTTTGGGGAGACTGGGCATGTTATGCCAGAAGAGAATTCTTTGCTTTTAAAATAACTGTCAGTGCCTACAGACAAAGTGGATTAATAATGTCTTCCTAATCTCTGTCAGGATGGAAACCAGATGAACTGTAATTTTATTCCTTTGGATATAAAATTAGACCTTTGGGAAGATTTACCAGCAAGCTTTCAGCTGAAACAAAATCGCTCCCTGGTAAGAATGGTCCTGTGCATTTGCTTTAAGTGAACGTTTGTTGAGTAATTTTAATGACCATTTTTGAGTTTCGTAAAAGCAGAGAACTTTGTGGCCTGCTGCAGAGTCAAATCACTGGTTGCATTTTAATCAGCCCAGGCGGGGACTATGAATTACCCTGGTGCTAAGAATAAACGTGAAATCTGTTTCCTTGGCGAATGATCACACCTAGGGTTGCTGTTTCTGCGGATAGAATCATCCTCACATCATTTAATTCCTCGTTCACAGGATTAGCAGCTGTGATGTTTGTATCTGACAGAATCACATTGTATCTTTGTAGGTTAAGTTCTAACACTGACAGGTTCTGAGAGCAGGGATGACACCGTGTTGGGTGGCTCTTGATTTGAGGTTGGAAGCACTGTGTGCAGCCAGGACCCTGCTGGGGAGGCCTTCCTTCCGATCTGTGGTCTTTTTCTCTCCACTGTTAAGGAGGGTCAGTATGTGCAGGGGCCGACCCGGCATGCAGGACACCACCTTTTACAGGAAAATAGGGATTATGTTTTGCCTGTTTAGTGGAAAGGAAACATGGCCCGTGGTTGGCTGCACTTGTCTTAAAGGAACAGTAGCCGTGAACTTTTTTTTTGGTATCATCTTATCCCGATTCTCAAGTTGCCAGAAAATAGCCAATTACTTATCACTGACTAATAAGAGTAATGGTCACCCTTGTGAAATGTCCCGATTTTGTTACGGATGGATTTATCCTGTGAGAGTTCAGGCGGTCAAGTACACGTGATGCTCAGATGTTGTGCTGTCACTCTGTCACCTACAAGGCCTGCTGTCCCCAAGGCCAGCTTTGCCTCGGCCACTGGTGGATCTGTGCTTCCAACAGCCAGGCCGCTTTTGGGCGCAACGAGCACCTTATTGCTGTCAGCCACTCAGGACACATACTGAGTGTCCTGAAAGGTGCCTTTCGAGAGCCTTTGCCTTGAAAGAGACCTCTGCAGAACTGGCCGTAGACTTCACAGTAAAGATAGGAGAACTGCAGCAAATTGTAGAAAGCCTTAAACCGTGGAGCTCAAAGCCTGTGGGGGGATATAATAACACATCAGTTTTCCGACATTATAAGTAGTCTCACTTTCAAAGGAAGGTATCTGGTGAGCTGTACACTCTTTTCATTATCTCATTTTCTGCCAGATTTTGAGGTTCGTTCGAGAATGGAGTAGTCTAACTGCCATGAAGCAAAGGATAATCAGGAGAAGCGGGCAGCTGTTCCGCAGCCCAGTTCTTGCTTTGGAAGAACTCACAAAGCAACAGACTAAACAAAACAGTACCAAAAGGTATGACTTGTCTTTCTTTCTTTATTTTGTATTTTGTTACTTGTCACAGTTATTTCTACAAGAGGGGTCTGAGGCATTTTATGTAACCACTAATGAAATCCTGATGAGTTAAGAGAAAATTATACATAAAATGACAGCTCATTTTAGAGCAACATAATTGGATATTTTGTGAATTTGAGCAAATCTGCTAGACAAGAGCAAGTTGTCTGCATCTTGTTCACCGTGAGTCCCACTCTTTGGGGGAGGGAGTTGAGTCACGGGGTGGTGTGACCTGTGACCCGCCCAGCCTGGGGACTGTTGAACAGCGGGAAGACACTTCCTTGGTCCACCAACAGAGCCTGCCCCAGGCCTGGCTGCCCTGCACTCCCGGGGTGTGAATCTTGGGTGCCATGCAGCAGGGGAGCTGCTTCCATTTGAGGTACAGCCACCCAGGTAGTGGAAGGTAACTTACCAGGATTGTGGGTGGAAACAAAGTAATACGGAAGGTTACGTGTCCCACACTTGGAACAGTTTTGCCTTTATCCCTGCAAGTCCCTTTCTCACCTCTGTAACACTCGCTTTCCTTTCTCGGCATCATAACCATCTTTGCCTCACTCGAATATCGCCTAGTGTGATCTTGAATCCCCATTCTCTGTGGACTCTCTTTCAACAAGAAGCAGGGTCTCAGGGAAAGCATTCAGCCACTCTCTAGTCCGACTCTTTTGCAAAGCACCAAACCAAACAGCAGCAGTGGCAGAAAGAGCCCCTTCCTTTAGCTCTCTGGCTGTCCCCGTATACGTGTCATCTCTCTTCATCTTCACAGGCCATTATATCATGATCTCCAGGCTTTTCTAGGCACACAGGGGAAAAAAAATCATCAGCTACCTGAGGGCGTGCGGCTGATGAAATAAATTATAAGCCCATAGAGTGATAATCTCTTCAGCTGTTTCCAATATGGCTTGGTATATTTGTACATGAGAATAAGGAATGATGTTGGTGATCAATTGTTAAGAGTGAAAATAAGTATCAGAGAGAAAGATGGAGACACAAATACATATAATTGCTGTTACTGACATAGGCAGTGTCTGGAAGGATACCTTAGAAACTCGTATCAGAGGTTTTTCTAGGACATGGTTCTCGACTGGGGTAATTGCTTCCCTGGGTGGCACTCTTGGGAGACAGTGTTAGCTTGTTACAATTTGGGGACACAGCTGGGAACCTCTGGTGGGCAGAGGCCTGGGGTACTGCTCAAACCCTACAGTGAACAGGACCATCCTCCCAAACAAAGACTTCTCTATTTTAATATATCAAGAGTGCCACGGTTGAGAAATTTTGCTGTAGACCGTACAATTAGGGGGTTTGTGGCAATAGTAGGACCTTTATAGATTATGCCTGGAGTACAAACTCATGTGACTAAGAACAAAGCAGGAACCGTAAATGCATGAATGAGGTCAGGCGTGAAACTAGAAAAGAGCGGGGTAGCGGGTGGAGCTGTGACAAATTAGAAAACGCATAACCATCTAATGCCACTCAAGTTCAGATTTAAAAATAAAACACTGTATGAGTCAAATGAAGCCCTTTGACTAGTTGGATTTATCCTTGAGCTGCCCGTTTTGGCCTCGTGCCTCAGCCCTTCTGTACTTGTTGAATTTCCCCATGAGCATGTATTGTTTTATATAAAAAATACATTAAAATATGTGTGTGTATTTATACACACACACACACACACACACACAGATATAACAAAAATTGTGATGCCTGTTTTATTCTTCTCAATACTTCTTCCAGTCCTCTCCTTTTCCTCATTCTTATAGCCACAGTCTTAGCTGAAGTTCTGGTCTTTACACAATCATAATTCCCTTCTTAACTGAACTTACAGCCCACTGCAGCCATTTCTAGATGCGTCCCCTTGTTTTTTCTCCATCAGACATGGAGGAACCACCTGAGAAAGAGGGCTGATCAGATGTAAAAGCAAAAGTCATAAAATTGATGCAAACCCAAGTCAGACACCCAGTGTTATTTCTAAAATTATATGTAGGTGATATATTACAGATAAAACTTGTGTTAACAAGCAGCAGACTAATCAGATGTGTCCTTTTAAGAGCTCACTCTGGCGGCAGGTGGAAGATTAGACTGAAAGCAGGACTCAAAGTGGGGAGACAAGTCGCATTGGCTTCCTCTGGTTGCCATTACAAATGACCACAAACTTAGCAGCTTAAAACAACAGGAATTTATTATCTCACCTTTCTGTAAGTCAGAAGTCTGAGTTGGCTGTACTGGTTTCTCTGCTCTGGATTTTATAAGGCTGGCTGGGTTCTTACTGATAGTCTGGGAAGAATCCGTTTCCACACACATTCAGGTTGCTGGCAGAACAACCTGGTGTTTGTAGGATTTGGTTTCCTTGTTGGCTATCGGCTAGGGGGCCACTCTCAACGTCGAGAGACTTCTTTCTAGTTCTAGCACATGGGCCTTACCTCTCAGGATCAGCAATGATATGTCTGTCCTTCTCATGCTTAGAATTGCTCCCTATCTTAGGTCAGCTGATTAATAACCTGAATTAACATCTGCACGGTCCCTTTACAAGGTTACCTAGATGGGTGATCAGTTGAATACCAGGAGACAGGAATCCTAGGGGGATATCTTTAATTTTTTTATGTATTTTTTATTATTTTTATTGAAGTACAGTCAGTTACAATGTGTCAGTTTCTGGTAGTGTACAGCATAATGTCCCAGTCATGCATATATATGCATATATTTGTTTTCATATTCTTTTTCATTAAAGGTTATTACAAGATATTGAATATAGGTCCTTGTGCCATACAGAAGAAATTTGTTTTTTTATCTATTTTTATATATAGTGGTTAACATTTGTAAATCTCAGACTCCCAAATTTATCCCTTCCCACCCCCTTTCTCTGGTAAGCATAAGATTGTTTACTATGTCTGTGAGTCTGTTTCTGTTTTGTAGATGAGTTGATTAGTGTCCTCTTTTTTCTTCTTTCTTTTTTTTTAGATTGCACATATGAGTGATATCATATGGTATTTTTCTTTCTCTTTCGGGCTTATTTCACTTAGAATGATGATCTCCAGGTCCATCCATGTTGCTGTAAATGGCACTGTTTTATTATTTATTTTTTTATCATTGAGTAGTATTCTATTGTATAGAATTCTATTGTATAGAATACAACTTCTTTAAACAGTCATCTCTCAATGGACATTTAGGTTACTTCCATATGTTGGCTACTGTATATAGTGCTGCTGTGAACACTGGGGTGCATGTATCTTTTTGAATTAAGGTTCCCTCCGGATATATGCCTAGGAGTGGAATTGCTGGGTCATATGGTAAGTCTATTTTTCATTTTTTGAGGAATTGCCATACTGGTTTCCATAATGGCTGGACCAAACTGCATTCTCACTGGTAGTGTAGGAGGGTTCCCTTTTCTCCACAGCCTCTCCAGCATTTATCATTTGTGGACTTTGAATGATGGCCATTCTGACTGGTGTGAGATGATACTTCATTATAGTTTTGATGTGCATTTCTGTGATAATTAGTGATATTGAGCATTTTTCATGTGCCCATTGGCCATTTGTATGTCCAAATTGATTGTTTAGTCTTCTGTCCATTTTTGGATTGGGGTTTTTTTGTTGTTGTTGTTATTAAGTTGTATGAGCTGTTTTGATATTCTGGAAATTACACCTTTGTCAGTTGCATCATTTGCACATATTTTCTCCCATTCCAGAGGTCTAGGGAGGTATCTTTAAAATTCTGCCTACCACAGAAATTAAAAGACTGTTAGAGTAGACCTGGAAGAAAGATGACTTACACTGAGGCATTAGAAATGGGAATGGAGGAAGGAGAAGGAAGGGAGGTGTTAAGGAGGTGGGTGTAGGGACCTTGGTCACTGATGAGACAGGTAAAGAGAGGGGGACTCCAGGGAAACTGACTTAGCAGAACCATGAGAATGAAACCAGTGCACCTGCAGGGGGAATACGTTGTGGAAGCAGGCTGTTTCTGGCTGTAGATCCCAGTAAGTCTCAGTAAATTGGAGTAACTCTCCCTCTCTGAAAGCAGGTGTGAGTGATGGGGCAGCAAAACAGCACTGATTGGAAGTCTGTGTGAGGAGCATTTAGACACTGGGCACCTTTCCCACCCACCGTCCTACCAGTTTGCTTTCTAGAAAAACTGCCAGAGAGGCACCGGTCTCAGAAACACTGGGCTCAGTGGAGATAAAGCGAGAGGCGTTAATTTTGGAAACTGACACTCAATCCCCAGATCCCTTTCTTGGCTCCGCAGCCATTACCCACAGGAGATCTCTGAAAAGATGGAATAACCTCAGAATAAACACACACAGATACTAATTTTCAGGAATTCCCCCCCAAAAGAATGGCTAGATCTCCAACATGATTGTCCTCCAATGACATCCACCAGTTTGCAGGCCCTGTCCAAGCTCACCAAGCTTTTGAGCAGCTCACTCTTAAATGTGAATAGAAGCCAAGATCACCAGCCATTGTACTGATTCCTACATGAGTTGGTACTTGTCAGTGGGCAGGTCTGATTCACCTGGGACCCTGTGGGTTCAGAATGCCAGCTCTGTCCTCTCACCACAGCTGATCTCTGAAGCAAGTCCCCGAGCCAGAGCCCAGCACTGTTCTCACTGGGGGGGGCCACTTTCCAACTTACTCCTCCTTTATTAGCCGTCGTCCTCTGCCGTCCCCATCCAGGAATTACTTTAGTAGACAACATTCTTCCTTCCCTATTTGTCAAAATTGGGATTTGCCATAATCCTTTTTGAGAGTTCATATCCTGACATGAGCTTCTTAGCAAACCTCAATGGAAAATTAAATATTGGTAACTCACAACTACATTTGAAAAGTTGACAACAACCTGCTTTGGGGTCGATTGATCTGTTTCTTGTGGTTTCCAAAAAACTGTGCTTAAACCTCTCATAGGAAAGCAAGAGGTTATTTTTGGTTCTTAAATCTCTATATAGATTTCTCAGCATCTTTTAAAGTTACTGAATTAAGTTTCTAAGCTTTTAAACATTAAATAATACCTGAGGCAAGGCTTAATATCCCAGGCCCCTCAAAGCTAGGAAGCTTTTGAGTTCATTTAGAATCTGCCGGAATACTCCAGCAAAATGCTTTTGTCAAGGGAATAAAATGAAGAAATGGGGGTTGAGGGGAGTTTAGGAACTAAAAGGGCAAGTTAAAGAATTCACTGTGATTCTTTTTTGCTTTAAGAAAGAGTAGTAGAAATGCAAACGTGAAAAGATAGTCATCCTTACTCTTAATAGTGAAATGCAAATTTAAAGTGATGACAAGACACCTGTCACTGTTAGCAGAGATGTTTTTAACTGACATATCTTGTGCCAGTGAAAGTGTGAGAAAATAGGGACTCTCATCCATCACTGGTGGATCTATGAAGTGATACCAACCCAAAGGAGAGCAATGTGTCAAAAATCTATCCAAATTTAGACCCCCACGACCTTTGACCCAGCAATTCCACTTCTGGGGATTTATTCTGTAGATACTTCTTGGGGAGAAAATAAGGACATCTAGGAGAGGGGTGTTTGTTACAGCATCGTTTGTGGTAGCGGAGACTGGGGCAGCCTTAACGGGCGTTAATCAGAGACCAGTTAGATGTATTATATGGTTTGTTGAAATAATGAAATAATATGCAACTATTAAAAAAATAGGGCAATCGTATGCATGCTGATACGGAAAGCTCTCCGAGATGTGTTTTTATGTAGAAAGAGCAAGGTAAAGGTCAGTGTGTATATTATGCTACCATTTATTGTTAAAAATAAGTATAATAGGGAGTGACTGCTAATGACTACGGGTTCCTTTTTGGGGTGATAAAAATGTTCTGGAATTAGGTGATGGGTGTACATTCTTGTGCATATACTAAAATGCACTGAATTGTAAGCTTTAAAATGGTAAATTTTATGCTATGTGAATTTTATGTCCATAAAAATACAAAGATAAATAAATAAAAGGTATACACCTATACACAGAAAAAATAACCTGTTTCTAAAAGGATGTACTGAAAACTGGCAACAGAGGTAGCCTGGGAAAGGGGGAGAAGAAAAAAAACAGGACGGGAACGGAAGGGAAACTTACTCCTCACCATACACAGCATTAGAATTTTGAAATATGTGCATGTATCACCTAATCAAAAATTAGTAAGATAGCTTATTAAAAAAAGGAAGCCTGTTCCTCATTAATCTACTTTAATAACATAAAAGCAAATGTCTAAAATTTTACCTACAATTGCACAATTCCATTGTGATTTAGTTTTATTGTCAGGCTACCAAATGAAGTATTTGAGAATGTGAAGAAATGCATGTTTAAACTAATTTTTTAAAAAACTACAATAGTTGTAAACTATTAGAGAAACTGGGCCATGCTAATTAGAAGGAATTAATTGGGTAATTGCATTTCACCTACTTAAATTCCCCCGTCACCTTTAATTGGAATAACTTTCCTCTTTACTTCCAGTCCCTAAACCATTATGCGGGATTGATAGTGTTGTGTGATAAGGTTCTGAATCCCACATCAAGAGTGGCTTTATTTCAGTGGAAGATTCCATAAACCCTGTGTTAGCTGATAATAACGGAAACAACCTTGAGATTATAGATGTGATTGAACCTAGTTAACTAGAAAGAGAATCACTTTACCCGAATATGCTGACGCACTATTGTAACTGATTAAGGCGATTTGAGGAGCCTTGAAGAAGAGGCCAAGAGGGAAGTGAAAATGCAGTTAGAGATTTTCTGCACAGCTTGGCAAGCAGTTTACGCTGTCAGTGGTGCAGATATTTGATCATTTCTTATTCCTACACCCACTCCTTCTTCCCCCTATGTGAAAATTGGTCCAAGGGATACTGAATGACTCTTGACTTTCCCAGAAAAACAAGTCTTGAGAAAACTGATTTGGAACAAAGAGATGTGTTTCCCACACATGGAGACCAGTGTAGAGGGAGAAAATTCCATTCCCTAATCTAAGTGTTAGCACCGTGAAAAGACTTGTATTTTGCTTTTTCCCCTATTGCTTTTGCAAGGAACAAATGTGAACATGAAATTGAGAAACTCTCATAGGAGAGAGAGGAAATCTCCTTCACATGTAATTGTTTTAGGTACATAACCAGAGAAGATGTTGCTGCAGCCTCGATGGACAAGGTGAAGACTGACGGGGGCCATGTCCGTCTGATCACAAAGGAGACCGGGCTCCGGGACTCTGCTACAAAGTAAGGTGGCTTCATTTGTCAGGCAGAGTAGCACGAAGACGATGCTTTTACATTTATGCATTTGTATTTGCAATAATACTTCTTTGTGGCCATGTTACAGGTGACAAAAAGCTTTCACAATATAATAGCTCTTCTCTCCTCTCCTCCTGGCAACCCTGTGAGGCACGTGGTGCCCTCACCTTAGAAATCGGAGGTCAGGAAGGACCCTGAGACCAGGTGGATCAAGTGACCGGCCCTAGGCCACTGGATACTGGAAGAACCAAGGTTGAATCTGGGCTCTGCCCCCTAATCTTGAGTCCTTTCTATCATAAAAAGTTTTTCTTTTAACCCTTCTAACAAACAGCCATGGAAGAAGAGCCAAGTGGCTATTGTAATTCCCGTGTAGGACTTTTCAACATAATTGAGTAATGGACCTTTTCTTTTTATTCTAACAAATATTTCATTTTTAATTTTAATTCTGTCAACTCTGAGTTTACCTGGAGGAGGCATGTCTTTATTAATAGCAGGTCTCCTGTTCAAATTCCTATCAACACTGCTAGTGCCCTGGCTCTGTCATGTAAATGGATGTGAACGATCTGTTTCCTAAAGGCCAGCAGAAGCTGGACGAGTGTTCACGGAACTGGCCTCTCGGTCCTAATGATGTGTGTGACCCAACACATTCACAGAGCAGGCTAGCCACGGACTTTGGCTGGGCTTTTCCACGAGCCTGTCGTTTCCCAGCCTGAAGAAGCATTTTCTCACTTCTCATTTTCCATCTTCTCCAGACGTCTCAAAGTCTGATTGTGTAATTTGAAGACATCTAAGTTCCCAAGAGAGGCAGCGGGGGGTGGTGTGGAAATCATTAGGTCTATTTACTTGTTTATTATTAGGTTTTTTTTTTAATGGAGGTGCTGGGGATTGAATCCAGGGCCTCATGCATGCTAAGCATGCACTCTAACCCTTGAGCTATAGACCCCCACCCCCTCAAATTGATACTTGTGTGTGTGTGAACACACCATGCTTTCTTTTACTTGGCAGGGGATATAGAATGCTGCCTATAACTATTTCATTTCCACAATGAATCACAGAATCTGTGGGCCCTGTTTACTGTTTATCAAGACAAAAACTTCGAAGACCTTTAAATGAAGTAATGATTATATAGAATAGAGTAAGCCTTCATTAGTTACCTATTTAGTGTTTTGCTCTGTTCCAGGGAATTGCTAGAAGATGGAGCCTGTGTCCCACTTCTAAGTCCCTGCGCAGCCCGAGCGGATCTCACTGTGAAGCCTCCTACATCCAAAGGCTATTTGCAAGCTGTGGATGATGAAGGAAACCCACTTTGCCTTCACTGTCAGCAACCCACTTTCCAAACTAAGCAAGAGCGTAAAGCCAATGCTTGGGATTCACGGTTTTGCTCTCTGAAATGTCAGGAGGAGTTTTGGATTCGATCTAATAACAGTTACCTGAGAGCCAAAGTATTTGAAATTGAGCATGGCGTGTGTCAGCTGTGTAATCTGAATGCACACGAACTCTTTTTACGTCTGAGAGATGCCCCTAAAAGTCAGAGGAAGAATCTTCTGGATATTACCTGGACCTCAAAACTCCCATTAGAACAGGTAAATTATAATCATGTGATTGACAGAAGGCAGCCTTGCCCTGAGTGATAAATATTGACTAACTTTCTTTCAACTTTTTAAGATGGGAATTATCAAGTACATATACAGAAGTAGAGAGAATGACGACCCCATATACCCATCACCCAGCTGTCACAGTTACCGGCACTCTGCCATTCATTTTCATCTGTCCCTCACCTCGCTTCTTACTCTCTCCTGGAATTATTTTAAAGCAAATTCCAGACAGCATTTCTTTCACCCCTAGATACTTTCAGTATGTAGCTCTCACAAAGACTGTATTCCTTGCCACCTCCTTGCTCTCTTTCTCCCTTTTAAATGTAACCCCAATCTCCACTAGCACACCCAACACAGTTTTATAATTCCGCAATTATAAGTCCACGTCTGGGTTCTCAGCTTGTCTCAAAAATGTTCTTTACCATTGCTTTCTTCACATTAGGATCAAAATCTGACCCACACTCTGCATTTGGTCATTACGCCTCATGTTCCAGTTAATCTGTAATATCACCCCATCCTTTTTTTTTCTTAATCCATTGATTGTTAAAGAAACTGAATCATTTGCTTGTAGGATTTCCCACATTCTGGATTTGTCGCCCTGATTTCCTGAATAATGCGTATAAGAGCTAGAGGTTTAATTCGATTCTGATTAGATTATTTTGGGAAAAGTCCAAACAGATGGTACATTGCATTGAGAGGCGCTTATGGTCTGGTTGTTCCACTTTTTATGATGGTAATGACAAGGGGCAAACAGATAACCCCCAAAATGTAGTTCATTACAATGAGAAGGAAACTTGTATATGTTCATCCCCTTGTAAAATGTCATCTGTGGCAAAATACTATTCTTAGCACAGTAGTTGCTGTATTCACTTTAACTCCCAAAATTCAATTGGATTTCCAGTGTTGTGATCTAAACAGTTTTAAATTCCAAATAGGAGCAAAATGTATAATTTTGTAGTAAGCTTAATTTCAAAGAATCACCCTCTGTCTACTAAAATATTGGATAAATTCCAGACAGGTAGTCAAATCTTGTATTTTTATTTACCTAGTATTGTTGAATTATGACAGAATTAACAAGCTTTTCTGTAAAAATGAATCAGACTTTGAGAGCTAGGGACATACACTAGTCCCCAAATGTTATCCAGAGATCCTGAAAGCCCCGTGGGTCTAACTGGTGAGGGACACGGTACACCCTTCCCCGAGGTGTTAGCTAGACTCCGGTTACTATCTATCTGCTGCCTCCATGTGGAGACACACGATGAAATGACTCAAGGACATCTTGGAAGCGGTCTGTCCAGGAATGTGGAAGCATCCACATTCCACCTAAACCAGAAGTGCTCAAGGGGTAAGGAGCACCACAGGGCCCAGAGGGGGGTGCCCAATGGGAGAGGGAGTGGTTCTATCATGAGGTGAGTTTCGGATGTTGAAGACTGGCCCTTAGTGATTTATCATGGAATTATTGGGAAGAATAAAGAAGCCCCTTCCAGCTCCCAGACTCTGTCAGAGTGGAGACTCCCTGGTGCAAAAGATTTGGTTACAAAGAAAGATAGAACCAAAATGGATTTTTCCTATGAATATGCCATTTGCTTGATGCACAAGACAGCCATATGAAGTTGCTCCTAACAGTGCCAGCCTCTAAAAATTGGTATGTATCTTTCCAACAGAAGTTGGGAAGTTGTTGAGTATAGAAGAGAAAGTCCGTCTGTATTAAAGTCCTGGTGGACAAAGTTTACTGCTTCAATCTGCTGCCTCTTGGGGCTGCTCTTTGGCCAGACGCTGTAGTTAAGGTCCTCGTGCTGTCCGTGGGCATGACCACTTTCTTAAAGCGCTTAGAGCTATGTCACGGGTTCCCACGGCCAGCAGCCGCGAAGTTGATTGTATCTTCCTTGGTCTTGAACAAGGAAGTAAAAACAGCTGCACTGCTGTGGTTCGTGCTGGTTTTACTACCTCACAGAAAATGCTAAAACATGCCCGTTTTAATGTAGGTCATCAATGGTTAAATATAAAGTGTGTATACAGGGACTGGCCTGAATAGTGGCCACTTTAAGTAAACATCCTTATTTATTCCAGATATGCAAGTTACAGAGGTTTGTTCTAGAAGTTTGATTCCAGTCCATGTAACTTGGGAGGTTCCCAGGTAATAGCATAAAAGTTCTGGATGATAGCTATTAATAGTAACTGTCACGGTATAGAAACAAATGCATTCAGGTCAACAATTAAACAGTATCTGAGTCAGTAATATTCAGAAGTTTTCTTTTTCTAGTGTGTTCTTAGTTTTTCCCAGTTTTATTTTAGTGACTATATAAAGTATCTCAAAAGCACAAAAGCAGCTGATTTTCCAGTCTGTCAGGAGTCTTGGTATTCTATACTTTACTTTGCTTGTAATTTTTTAAAAAATGGGTTAGGTAAGGAAAAAAAAAACCCTCCTTTTTCAAAAACATTTTATTGCTTTCAAATTGCTAGCCTAGAGGGTTTTTCCTACTTACAATAAAAGCTATAAAAAACCCATCCTAATGTATTTTTCCCTCTGATTTTGCTGTATAAACATGATTGCACGATGCAAAACCAACAGTCCCCACAGTGTATGTTGAAAATTGCTGATCTTGTGTTCTTATTGCAGCTTAATGAAATGGTAAGAAGCCCAGGGGAAGGGCATTTCTGGCAGGTGGACCACATCAAGCCGGTGTCCGGTGGAGGAGGGCAGTGCTCCCTGGACAACCTGCAGACCCTCTGCACAGTCTGTCACAAAGAGGTCAGTGAAGCTCGCAGACACATGTGACTCCATCCTGACACATCAAATCGAAAGCTGTGCATATAAGTGTGGAAGGTTATGTGGGTGAACCTCTATCCCTGTCTGGGACTCGGGAAGTATTTTATTCTTTTCATTACCTGACACTTAAGTCTTCTCTTGAGGCCTGTGCAAGTTCTCAGTCACAGGTGAAAAGCAACTGCTTTGCTTTTGACTCATTCTAGGACCAGGGAATTTTCACCACCACCTAGAAGAAAATGAATACAACTTACATATTACACAGTCTTGAAGAGACCCTCAAACTATAAGTTCAGTGAATTGGGGCAGTGACACATGTTTGTATCTGCAGTTTAATAGGTCCTGAAATACCTGGGAACATGAATAAATTATCTCCAGGACCAACTCAGTTACATGTGCAAACATTACAGTGCTGACTAAATATGAAACCAGATGACCTTAGAACATCTTGGAGCAATTACCTATTACTAAAAATGAGAGGAAAGGAATGACATAATATTGTCTGTCAAATAGGATGAATTTTTAACAGGCAGTTCAGCGAAAGGTTGTAGGACCTGTCTGTTGAGACATAATCTTAGAAGTATACATTCAATGTGCAACTTTGTATCCAACTTTTTTTTAATTTATAGAAAATTTAAACATTTTCCCATGTTCCTATGATAAGCTTTCACAATGTTTATCATCTAACATGGCTGCACATTATTCTATTGAGTCGATCTCAATGGATCCACTGCAGTTTATTTAGCCATTCCCATACTGATGGATGTTGAAGTTGTTTACATTTTTTGGTTCATATATACAATGCTGCCAAGTGTGTCTTTTTTATACAAACTTTTTTACATTTTGAGGTTGTTCCTTAAGATAGATTCTCAGATGTAAAATCACTGAGTCAAGTGTTAGAGGTAAATTCCTACCATCTCAAAAATACTAA